GTATATTTCTACAAAAAGACTTTCAAAAGGTTATATAAGGAGGAGTTAGACCCCAGATCCTCTCCCATGTCCAACAAGAGATAGTTTATTCCCTGGAAGAAACTGAACCAGAGTCCCTGGCTCAGACATCAGGTAGAGTAGAAAACACTGGTCTGAAAACAGGGGGATCAAATAAAAATCCACACACTCAAACTTGAGATTCCAGTTCCCTTCCCTACTCAGCTCCCTGAACCTCAGCATGCGCTGCCCAGGCAGAAGAGGGAAGGACTCCTCTTAAGTAAAACCGACACGCCCTGGGGAAATGATCCACAGATACTGTCTTCGGAAGTTCCCCAACGAAACCACAGGCTCACCCCTGATAGCCCTGGCAGTGAAGCTGTATGGTGGGGAAGCCCTGCCCACAAACCACGGAGACCAATTTGTTTTTCAGTGACTCATCATTAAATAGGAACAGAGAGCAAAGGATCACAAAATAGTTAAGTTTCTAACATAGAAGTCAGACACCTATACCACAGGAAAAAAAGAAATGAAGATAAAACAAGAAGGAAATACATACATACATACTTACATAAATTTAATGTCCTCAGAAAGAGAAGCATTGCACCCATGAAAAAGGGAACAGAATGGTATTAAAATGCACACAAATTAAACCAAACAAACAAATAAACAAGAAAGAGCTCTTGAAAAATAAAGACAACAGAAATTCAGAAAGGTTAAGATAAAGTAAAGAAAACCTATAAAGAAGCAGGGCATTGAGACAAAGAGAGAGAATTAAAGGACGAACAAGGAGGCCCCGCCTAACTAACAGGAATTCAGAGGAAGAAAAGAGAAAACCAAAGTTGAGGAAATGATCAAAAGACATAATGGGAAAGTTTTTCAGAACTGAAGGACATAATTTTTTCAGATCAAGTGTTCACCATAGTGGCTGAAATGAACAGATTGCCATAAAAAGAAGATCCTAAAATCCTTGGGGGGGTTGTTAAAAAAAAAATGAAGAGAAAAGGTCACCTACCAAGAGAGGAATCAGAATAGTACAACACTTTTTAATAGCAACTGTAAGGGCTAGAAAACAATGGTGCACTGGCTTTAAAACTCTGAGGAAACAAGTTTTCCTATCAAGAAGCCGGCTAAATTAACAATCAAGTGTGAGAGAAAAAATATTTTCAGATATGCAAAGTGTCTAATAAGTTTGTCTCCCACATCCCCCTTCTCAAGAAGATCCTAGGAGATATTCCATTAAAAAGAGGGAGTAAATCAAGAAAGAAGTCACTAGACACAGGAAAACTAGGGGTCCAACACAGGAGAGACAAAAAGGGAATTACCAGGAAAATGACAAAAGGTAACCCCAGGACAACAGCTGTGTAGCAGGCCCACAAAGCAAGCATCTACGCCAGCTCCAGGAGGGAAGAAGTGTCCAAGAAAAAGGTGTTAAGAAGAGAGAGTTCTGTCAGAAAGCTTTGGAATACTAGAGAAAAAGAAAATTACACAACTACTATCCAGACAGCACAAGAAAGGAAATGTAATCATTGCAGTTAAGGGCCTTAGTCACGAAACACAGTTCCATGCTCATAATAATGTCAACCCTCAACACGGACTTAACCAAAAATTGCTACCTATATATTGAGAGAATGGGGGAAACAGCAGCCTGTGCATGTGGCGTGGAGCAGAGAGGGTGTGAGACAATGTAAAATAGCTAAGTCCTCATCTTCCATAGTAATAAGCCAACATATAATGTCCAATAACAAAAAAATTAAAAATAGCAGTATATACATAATATTTTGGAAGATGAAGGAAAACAGAAAAAAGAGCCCAAAGACTCAAAAGTGGTTGCCTAGGAAGCGGGACTTGAGGGTTAGGATGGGTTGGAGTTCCAGGCACCTATTTCTTATTATAAGTCTTGTTGCTTATTAAGATATTTTTTATCAATATAGGATATTACTTGGATGGGAAAACAAGTTTAATTTTTTAAAAATACAAAACGAAACCAAGAAATGTACACAACAGTGGGCAAGAAAACTAGAGAAGATGAACTGCAGTAGGAAAACGACAGTAAGACAACCAGTTCTCCAAAGCACCTGCGATAGTCCAGGTGAGAGCTGAGAAATGCTTCCTCTGACAGCTGGGTGCAGAGCTGGGCGAGTGTGGAGGAATGGGGATCAAAGGAGAAAGAGGGATGGGCTGAAAAGATATTTACAGACATAGAATTAATAGACATGGAGGACCAATCAGTGGACTGTGAAAGAACTAACAGGCAAGGCAATGCCCCAAATATCCTTCCATCTGGGTATTTATTTATTTAGCCCACAAATGCTAGCTCTTTGGGAACATCATATTTCCCTATGTAATTAGAAGCATTTTGATTTTCTTTTTGTCTAGGTTTTAATTTGGGGGTTATTATGAAACATACAAAGAGAAAAATACAGAAAATAATGATCATCCAAGTATCCAGTACTCAGCTCTTTGAAATACTAACATTTTTGTCATATTTGCCTCTAGTTTCCTTTTTTTTTTCTTAAGAAATAAACATTATGGGGGCCAGCCCTGTGGCCTAGTGGTTAAGCTTGGCGCACTCCGCTTCAGCAGCCCTGGTTCGGTTCCTGGGCGTGGACCTACACCACTCATCGGCGGTCATGCTGTGGTGGCAACCCACACACAAAATAGAGGAAGATTGGCACAGATGTTAGCTCAGGGTGAATCTTCCTCAAGTAAAAAGAGGAAGATTGGCAACAGATGTTAGCTCAGAGCCAATCTTCCTCAGCAAAATAAATAAATAAATAAATAAACAAACGTTATGGATATAGACGAAACCCTCTTCAAACCATTCCCTAATCCCATCCCCCAACTGCCTCCCAGAAGGTAACTATTAACCTGAATTTGGCATTTAATATCTCCATCTACCTCATCTCTAAAATGAGAGCATTGGTCATTGGCTGGGATGAATTCTAACGCCCCTTTCTGTTCTAAGACGCCGGGATTCAGTAGTATGATATAAAGTTCTTGAAATTCTGTAATGGAAGTGCAGAAGCCTACACTGCTGTGAAATACACAAAAATATTTTTAAATAACTTCAAAAACAGACAATCATGTAACCTTTTAGCAAAAAATCATAGTAACTTTATTATGCAGTGTCAGTAAAAATATTATCATCAATACATAGGGCATATAAAAACCTAAGTTCAAGAATTTTGCTGTGGTTTCCTTTCATCGTACCCATCAGCTCCAGGGAACAATAAGGAAGTGCTTGAGCACAATACCCTTACTGGAGTTCTTACTGCCTATGTAACTAATTCAGTGCAGCACCAAACCATCCCAGTTGTCACTGTATTCTCTGCGAGGCATCACAGCAAAAATATTCTTTAAAAAAATCTGCAATGTCAGTTTTACTTAAAAATGTCCATGATGACGCAAGAAAGTTATTTCTATTACATCTTGACCCTTGAGTAGATATCTTTGTTAGTTTCTGGGCGCTACAATGGGGAGTACACATAAAGCACTTCTGCTGTATACTCAAGTTCGACATTTATCTCACGGAAAACACTAGTACGATTATTTGAGTTTTGAGCCAAACTAGCTACTATGTTCATGGAATACCACTTTTACTTGCAAGAACAACTGACAAACCCATTATTCAGAGTTGGGTATTTGGCAGACGTTCTCTCTTTGAATGAAGTGAGAAGGTCAATTCAGGAAAAACAACTGACAGTAATTGTTGCCAAGGATAGCCTTCAAGCCTTCAATTGAAAATTAAAATTTTGAAAAACTTGTTTTCACAGTGAGCTTGACAACTTCCCGATAACTAAAACATTTTTCTTATGAGATCAGTGGTGATCATAACAACTGTGATTTCTTGGAACCGCATAATAAAAAACGTTAGCATTTTTAATATCTGTATTATCCAATGAACCAGTATTTCCCAAATGATGAATACTTAAAGCAGTAAAATGATGCATGGGCAAAGATCCATTCAAAGTGCAAGAAAGACCAATGGATCCTAATGTAAAGGAATTTAAAAAGTTCACTGATAGGGTTTTTGATTCCACATTGGAACCAACATTTAAGAAATGATCGCTTGTCAACTTTTGGTACAGTATCAAAGAAGAATATTCACAATTATCCAAAAAGACAATTAAAATACTCTTCCCTTTTTCTACATATCTGCACAAACTTTATAAAAAGCACTTACTGGATTGTTCTTTCTGGATGTTAAAAACCATAAACACATAATCACAATGGTTAATTACCAAAGTTTAATCTCTGATCATTATCTGTCATTTAAGAACCCATGAACAACTTATTATTTATTTAAAAGTTATATTCTTCTGTAGTTAGAGTCATATATTGGCAAAAAAATATATATGTATGTATCAGAGGCTTCATTTACCACAGAATCAAGACTGATCATTGCTTCAAAAAAGAAAAGGAAATGAATATGGTAAATTCTTAAATCTGTTTTAGATAGATGCAAATAAAGTTCCTTCTCTCTAGCTATAAAGGAGCAGACCCCTTTCATGGAACATGTCACTCTTGAAACCTATACACTAATCACCCAGATGACATGGTATTAATAGATTTAAATCTTAGTTCTTAAATTTCTAAGGAAATGTCTTTTCACGGAAAAAACTGACCTTTTGTAAATTTCAAAGAAATAATTCAATCTGACCAAACCCCTGTAGTTCAGAAGTAACACGTCAAACATCATTAACTTTTCACAGACTCATCTGTAGATAGGTTAAGAAACAGGAGTGATTTAAAGAGAAATGTTCTTCTTATACAAATCTATCCAGTTGATGAATACCATAAATCATTCCCTTCAAAGGCAGGGACCTTGAAAAAAATTTCAGAATGAGAATTGATAATGTCTTCACTCATAAAGTCCTATTATCCTGCCCTCTGAAAGAGAAAGGTTATATACTGTAGTTTTTTAAGTCAGAATATTCAAGAAACAACCAGAAGCCGGACCCCCTCCCCTTCTAATTATCCACCCATTTCTGCATGCTCACCTTTGTAGCTCATTGAGCCCCCTGGCAGTTGGTAGGCTGGGATTTTGCCTTAGGAAGTTTTGTTTTAAATTGAGATGAGTGAGGTCTTGGCTGTAGAAGAGGTTGGCAGGCAGATGTTCCAGGCTACAACACGAGAGGTCCACTGAGCTAATACGCTGTGACGCAACCTACAGGGAGGTAAAAACACAATTCAATTTAATACCATCCATTAAGCTATAGCTGCTTTCTATGGACAGAAGTAAAATAACCCATTTGGGAACACAGACAAACTATGCAAGTAGCACTATTAGTCCAAATATAAACCAATAGAGTATTTACTTAGTATAGAACTGAGTCAAGTACTATAAAAGCAGAAAACAGTGTCCCTGCCTGGAAGGTACTTACAGTAACCTAGTATAGGAGACAGGTTACAAAGGGCACAGATTATCCTATCAAGTTTAGTGATATGAGTAGTCTCCAACTGTAGGGGTTACGTTCCTGAAAACATCCATGGTAAGAGAATTCAGAGCTAAAATAACAAAAGACTTTAGAGTAAATACAGTTGAGAGATAGACACCAAGATCTAGACTGAACCTATGAAAATCCCTGTATATATTGATTTAAAACAACACAAATAAAGAAAAGTAGCATCAATGGCCTTGTACATATCTTTAATATAATCAGATTCCACTGCCTGCCTGCTGTAAACTTCTCAGGGTGTCTCTCCCAAAAAATTTCAGTGAGATGCTTATAAATTCACAGTACTTTGCTTCATGTAGGTATTCTAAGTAAAATCTGTTTTATGTCTAAATGTTTATCCACATATTCAAGACCTTTCTGGTTAAATGACTCCTACCACGGCCAGAGTCCCGGACTACAGACCAACTAGCATGCTGGAGACAGAAAGAGCATTGGGCAACCTGTATTTCTCAAATGGTCTCTCCAATATTCCGGGTAATCTGGTGCCCGTTACGCCACAGCACAGCTTCAGCCCCACTTACACACACCTTGGCTCTTTCTCTCCTCACAAAGGCTGTGGGAGTGCTGTTCTAGGATCCGGGTTGATTCTCCCTCATGCTCTTTGTCTTTATCAAAGCTTTATAAAAGAAACCCCACTCCTTATCCGTGATCAGTTTGATAGCCTTTCCTACTACCAAACCCCAGCTTTCTCTTTCCTAATTACAGAACAGCAGAACATGGTCCTTAGGAGGGTGGCTCTGGTATCAGTGTGTGGACTCACATCCCAGCTCCACCACTTAGGAGCTGAGAGAACTTGAGCGGATCACTGAGCTCTCCAAGCTCCAAGTTTCCCCATCTGTATGACAGGCATAAAGATGACACCTACCACTGCATGCCTGGTACAGAAAAAGCATGCAACAAATGGTGATTGCTACTACCATTACTACTACTTCCAAACAGAATGATTCACATCTTACATCCATTGGAATCCAAACTCTCCTGATGCTAAAAAGATATGCAGAAGTAAATCTGCATAAACTATATTCTGCTGATGGCATATTTGAGGTTAGAAAGAAATTATCGTGCACACATGAAAGCTAAAGGGATAGTGGGATAAAAAAGGCCTGGCAGGGCTCAACTCAAAAGATTTTACAAAGGAAGTGTGAGTTTGCATTTTAGCAATATCATCTTTCCTTGAATTTTCACTATTAAATAAGAAAAAGAAAATCCCAAACCGTGCCAAATGACCCATATAAACCAAAAGATGCAAAAAGAGCCAGGGTCTAATTGACCTGAAAGGCAGGTGTAATGTGCCACAGCCGCACAGGATTCCCTGGCAGGAACCTGTTCATGGGAAGCGAAGCGGAAAGTTTTACTCAGAATCATTCATTCAAAAACATGTGTTCAGCATGTAATGGTGTGCCAGACCTTATATTTCCTGAGACACAGCAGTAGAACAAGACAGACACGGTCTCTGCCCTGCATGAGTACACCTCAAGAGAAGGAGAGGGAAATTAAGATACTACATGATAATGGTTACAATAATCGTAAGTGCCAGGGCACAGAGCATGATCTAAGGAGGCAGGGAAGGCTTCCCAGAGGACCTGATGTCCAAGCTCAAGCTTGAAACTCAAGTGGAAACCTGTGTTTCTGTCTGCCCCAAATCCTTTTTCCACTTTTTCCTGCAACAATCCTTCAAACGCATGTGATCCTGATGAGAGCTGTAAATACAGTATGCCGACCCTCTGGCTGCAGGGGTAGGCGTGTACTCCAAGCTTGAACAATCAGGATACCCATTCCACTGAACCCAGAGATTGATCCAACAGGTACTGGCATGTGACCCAAGCCAGACTAATCAAAGGCCTTCACTGGGATTTACATATACTGAAGCCGAGAGAGAGAACCTGCCCCTCAGAGCTGCAGTTAAAATGAATGAACGAGATTCCTATGTATCCACCTGGATTGCTAAAAAAGCGAGCTGCAGAATGTTACATACAGTATAATGCCATTAATGGAAAACATTTTTAACACAAACTTACACAACTCTGTATATTATGTACAAAGATCTACATGTGCAATAAAGCTATAAACCATACATTGGTCCTATACCAAATTAATGATAGTGATTGCCTCTAGATAGGCAGGGAAAGAAATGGAAATAGGAATAGGAAGGTAGGAGATCTGGAGTTTATGTATAATGTTTATTTCCTAATAAGAAGAATAGACGATATGGAAGAACTATGTCAATATGTTAACAATGGGGAGGCCAGTACATGGAAATTGTAATATTATCCTTTGTGCTCTTCTGTGTCTGTATATGTTTACTTTGAAAAAAATAATGTAATCTCAATAAAAATTTCAGTAAAAAAGGGGAAAATGGATGAGAGCAATCTTCTGGATTTCCCTGTATTTAGCATTCTACTAGGTGGTACACCAGGGATGATTCTTCCTCCTGTAACCAAAGGATCCCCTTAAGCCTTTGTAGTGAGCTGAGTAGTGGCCCTGCAAAAGGTATGTCCACATCCTAATCAACAGAATCTGTGAATATTACCTTATATGGCAAAAGAGTGATAAAAGATGTTGTCAAGTTAAGGATCTTCAGAGGAGGTCCGCTTATCCTGGATTATTCGGTGGGCTCTAAATACAATTAACATGTATCTTTATGAAAGAGGTAGAGTGAGTTTTGAGAGAGAAGAGAAGGCATGTGACCACAGAAGCAGAGACTGGAGTGACATGGGCCATAAGGTAAAGAACGCTTGGAGCCACCGGAAGCCGGAAGGGTCAAGGAACAGATCCTCCCCTTGGGCTTTCCAAAGGAGCACGGTTCTGGCGACACCTTGATTTAGGACTTCTGCCTCCAGAACTCTGAAAGAATAAATTTCTGTTGTTTTAAGTCACCAAGATTTTGTTCATTTGTCACAACAGCCAGAGGAAACTATTACAACCTTCTTAATATTTTCCATAGTACTTTACATTTTCATTCATTCATTCAACATGTTTATTGAATACCTACTATGTGCCAATTACTGATCTGGGTAAGCACTTAGTATGCCTCAGTGAACAAAATGAAGATCCCTACCCTCATTAAACTTACTTCACAAATAAGTAAATTATATGTTATAAATTGGTAAGTACTATGGGAAAAGACAGCAAGGAAAAGGGGGTCGGGACTGTTGGGAGGGTGGGGGATTTGTAATTTAAATAGTTTGGTCAGGGTGGGCCTCATTGAAAAGTTGACATTTAGACATGAAGGACATGAGGAAGTTAGCTGAAAGATTTATCTAGAAGATGAACACAAAAGGCAGAGGAAGTAGCCAGTGTAAAGGCCCTAAAAGTGAGTGTGCCTGGCATGTTCGAGGACCAGCATGGAGATCAGTAAGGTGAGAGGAGAGTGGCCTGTAATGAGGTCAAAGAAGTAAGCAGGTGGGGGTGGGCAGCAGAGCCTGCAGGGCCTTTTAGGTCATCTGGCTTTTAATGTGAGCAAAATGAGACGCGTGGAAAGGTTCTCAGACAAGCCCTTGGCTCTAGACTGTAAGTTCCATAAGGGAAGGATTTTTGTCTTATTTTGTTCACTGATCTCAAAAAGTATTTGCTGAAAGAATGGCTACCAGACTACTTTACAACCCTTCCTTTCTCACCAGTTTGCATCTGACCCATCTAGGGTACTCCTTCACGAGGAGACTACCTTGAAGAGGACAAATTCTATTTCAAGTGAAGCATCACACTACGTACTCTCTTCCCACAGCTAAAAGATAATGATTAAACGTCAAGTTGTATTTGATTCCTTTCCTCATTCTAGACCACAAGCTGTTCCTGCTGGAAACAAGGGGGAGGAAACCACAATAACAAAGCTACAACAAGCAACGGCAATCTGTGGGAGTCGTGGCAGACCTGGGAACATCTACAGCGAGAGCAGAAGTTAAACATGTCATGATGGCAGCAGGGCAGTGAGCTGCCAAGGCGACCACAAAAGCTACCACTAGCTGCACCTCTGCCCAGCGCCGTGCCCTGCAACAAAGGGGAGATTTAAGTGCTTCCACCCAGACCAGCCTGGGCACATAAGGACTCCACCACAAAGAGGTTTTGCTTGACTCCCAAATGAAAAAACTACCAGCTGGGCTACCTACATAGCACCTACTAAAACTAAGATCCTTCTCAAAATAAGAAAGACCTAAATAAGTAATAAAAATAAACCAGAAAGCCACTGTATACACCTCAGAACAAGTAGCCTTTTATTATTCTAGCTTTTTTTTTTTCAAGCAGTAGTAACAACAACAATAAGAGCTAACATTTAGGGGGTGCTTCACTTGTGAGAGGCATTCTTCTAACTGTCTTAGACATAATATTTAGTTTAATCTTCACAACAGCTCAGTGTAGTAAGGACTTATCCTCATTTCAAAGGTGAAGGTTAAACTGAGTCACAGAGTGTGCCCAAGGTCACACAGTTAAAGCAGTAGCAGAACCCAAGTTTGAAAAGAGCCTGCACTATTAATGCAATGCCATCAAATCAGGGGCTGGACACAGTTCAGATCTTACCTGAAGGAAGGCTCCTCTAACTCCCATGATGAAATAGCAACATAACCCCTCAGACCAGAGCAAAGACAATTAGATGTCATCCCTAGGATAAGCTTAGGCCTTAGGAATGAAGATAGGGCAGTGATGGATGAGAGTCTCCTGGAAAGCAGCAGAGGAGACCCTCTGCTGACCAGATACAGACTTCAGGGAAGGG